AGCCGGGCTGCTGGGCGCCAGAGGGTACAGCGGGTGATCTGGTGGTCTTCAGGGAAGGAGGCGCAGTGTGGGGTAATCAAGGTCTGATTGAGGGTGACGAGATACGTACCTGGTGCATGAAGAGAGGTCGGCTATGGAGTTGACAGTCATGTACATTGGTCTTCGAAAGTCGAAGCGAGCCTGTTGTGCGAACCAGCTGTAGGTAGGATAGTCGGGCAGAGTAGGTTGGGTGCTGGGCGCCAGACAGAGAGGGAGCGACTTTGGATACTGTGTTGCTTGAACATTGGCTCATTACTTCATTGTACTGCTCTATATGGATGGTTTCTCGGTGCATTTTGTACTCTCTGCTTGGATACGACTACCTGGACATCTGTGTGATTTCGCAACATTGGTTTTCTGTATATCGTTCACACTCATATTCCTTGCAATTTGGTATCAGAGCTGGTTCGTGATCGCTGCTTACCTGGCACCGGTGACATTGTTATTTGGTGCGCTGACGATGCTTCATGTGCAGTAAGGATACTTTGACACTGGTTTGTTGTAGCGGGGCCTAGGTGGAGAGGCCGGCCGCTGGTTGGCTGTGGCGCCAGCGTGGGAGCTGTGGCGACAGCGGATGAATGTATGATGATGAGAGTAAGCTGACGTGGCATTTTGGCTGAGGTGGCACTGCATTGCGTTGTGGGTGGTACCAAGGCTATTGACCGGTCATTGAAATGCACGTCGGCCCAATTGGTGAGAAATTTGTGGTTGGGGGCAGCTATCTCCAGGTACGTTGTTCCCTTCTTACCGTGAGGAAGTGAGTCCAATTTGAGTGTCCTCTCTTTGGCGAGGAGTTGTGTGCACTCTACCTTGAGAGACGGCATTCTTCCCGGTGGCGCATCTGGCAGGAGAGGGCGGTGCCTTTGAAGGGCCCTGGTCGAAGCACGGGTCACGGTCACCATGACAACCCATGGGTAGTGGTACACGTAGGCCATGCTGCTTTGTCCATTGAGGCTCTTTGCTGCGCTGATAGAAGGGGTGTGCGGAATGACCAGTCCTATGTAGACGCTCCCAGACCGTCTATAAACATTTCTGGTTGGGGTCTGAACTGTCCACTGGTTGTGATCGTCGTCGTGATTGCGACGTTAAAGAATTCTTGAGGACTCTCGGGGGCGGTCCTTAAATTGCCTCTTGATCAGCCAGATCAGTCAGACGTAAGGCTCGTTGCACGCGAGGGTAAACAAAGGGCAGGACTGGTCATAAACATACTTCTTGGGCACAGGGGTGGTCCGTGGTTGCACACCTTAGACAATGCTGCTTGATGATGCTCGTAGGTTCGTTGGATACAGGGGAAGCGGATTCCAATTGTGAACTCAACTGAACATCACTACTTTACCGATTGTGCGTACATCTGCTCACAGTAGTCTATTCTTATTTTTGATTAGTTGGTTGAAAAACTGCTGACACCTAACAGACAGCCTAGAGTAGGAATGTAATCTACCATAGTCAGTTCTCCTCAAAGCTAATGAACAAAACTAATCAGAATAGAAGTAGACTATATGCGTACATTTTTGTGTAGGTGCTGTTGATGCCGCTTGATAGGTAGTCTAGGTCACTCGCCGGACAGTAAATTATTTTATTTATTTTTAGCCAGCCGCATGCTGCGGTAGGTCCCAAGGAGGACATTAGTGCTGACAACGTCTGCACTGCCCATGAGTGGATCAGAGGGTGCTGAAGGGACAGCTGACGATAGGAGGCTGACACGACGGGAGACCGCTAGGATACCCGTTGTCTCCCGTCGTGTTCCAGGTTCCACTACTAGGAGACGAGAGAAGGCTTAGGGTCGAAGCAAGGGCCTGTAATCTAGAGACTGCGAGAGGCAGCAGCAGCAGCTGAACGAGCGTTGGCAGCAGCAGCAGCTAGCGCGGTAGTAATGGCTACCTCTTCAACCACCTCTGGTGCAAACTCTACTGGTATGCCACTCAACACGACCAGTTTGCAGTCCATCTCTAGTACGTCAGGAACTGGCACTAGTCAGATGGCGGGTTCGCAGTTCAGCTCGCCGCCTCCGCGCACCCGGGAGCAGATGGAGCTCCAGCAAGTAGAGAGGATCCACTTGAGGCTAGAGGAGGAACTTAAACAAGCTACTAAGAGAGAGAAGGAGATTAGAGACAGAAGTGTGAGACTAGAGGGTAGGGAGGCAGAGAAAGCTGCGATGGAGGGGTTAGATGACTCGACCCTTAGTAATACTGAAAAGATCTTTAAGGCGAGCATCCTGTCCATGCACGCATACATGGACAGCAAACTGGATACAATCCAGGACACCTTAGACTAGATCCTGAATGCCTTGCATAAGCCGGGTATCAGACCAGCAGTTTTACCATCGCTGCCATTCTCAGCGACGGCATGCCTATATGCCGTTAGTCCGGACCATCACCAAGTGGTACATCAGCAGCAGCCCTATCTCAGACTGTTGCTTTTTCATCTTTTAGTCCAGCGACTGGAGCTAAACCACAGTTGCCACTTGTCTCGCCAACGGGACAACAATTACCTTCGTACCCCAAGACCCCCCTGAAACCACCTCCAACCTTCTCAGGAAACGAGAAGGATGAGGCTCTCGACACGTGGTTGAGAACAGTGCCAGTGTGGGTGAGGGCAAAGAGGACATTGGTAGAGGTGGAGGTGATAACTGTTGAATCCTACTTAGAGGGTTCAGCAACTCGCTGGCTAAAT